GCACACCAGACACCTGGGGGCACCACAATCACCACAAAAGACCTCAGACCAGAATGGCCGCATGTGGCTACTAAAACTAATCAAGCAAAATGTGAAAGTCACATGTGGCAGTAGACACATGTCAGGTGCTCACAGGCAGCCACCACGTGAGACACAGAGACCCCATCAGCAAGGAAAGGTCCACAGCACCACCGCGGCCACCACTCGGGCTCTGGCAGCACAGCCTGGCCACTTCCCACAGGAGACGCGCGCTCACTGGGTGTCCGGATCACGAGCCACACGTTAGAGGGAGGCACGCCGTATGAGAAATGATGCTGGCACGCTTCTGCAAAGCAAAGGGCTGTTTCTAAAGCAAAGCCTGCCTGGGCAAACTAATAAAAGTATGTGTCCAGCAACTCTTCTATTAGAACAACCGACCTAGGGAAAACACAGCCACACTGCTGAAGGCATCTGCGAGAAAGGCCTTTACCTGCTGCTCTGTAAGATCCGCCAAGTCCATCTTGTTGAGGACCAGCAAGTGAGGCTTAAGCCCAAGGGTTTCCTGAAACAGAGGGTTGCGGCCTGAAAGTGGGATGTGGCAAAATTAAGGTAAAAATTCCACCAAAGCTTTATCAGCCAACCAACTATTTTTCTTGACATCAGTGAACGAGTCATCACATCTTGCCAATTCATTCCTCAAGTACAGGAGGAAAGCCCCAGCTGGCAGGAACATTTAAACGGAGGTTTCACAGCCTACCTAGAGAATGCCACCGCTGCAGCCTACTGTCAGGCTTGAGTGACCCAGACACATGTATGAAACATGTAAGTTTCAAAGACACGCAGTCTGGACCCCACACCACAGATTCTGACTAACTGGTCTGGTAAGGGGCCTACCAATTCCTATTTTTAAAAGCCTCCCCAGGTAATTCTAACATGTAATATGACTTCAGGCAGAGGGGCCTCCCCTGCTCTGTGAAAGGATATTCGGGCATCATGGACCTCGATGATACAGTCCACCAGCTTCAGGCTGCTCTTCATCTTCTTCAGCCCTGGAAAACAGAAGGACGCCTCAGAGAAGGAGCTCACAACCTTTCTAAAGGTTCAAGCTGAACCATCCAGTGTGACACGCCACCATAAATAACCTACAAAGTCTACATCTGAGTGAAGCGTACTAAGTAACAGTAACAGGTAACATCCACTGAGCGCCTCCTCCAAGTTCCACACCCTTGGAATGGGAGACGGGGAGGCGCCCTGCCAGAGGGTGGGCCATGTGTCAAAAGCCAGATGCGGTCTTCACCACCTGACTCGTGGCTGACTCTGGGTGGAATATTTAACTGCCATGGGGTTTTTCTCTTTTTTTTTTTTTTTTTTTTGAGACCGAGTCTCACTCTGTCACCCAGGCTGGAGGGCAGTGGCGCAATCCGGGCTCACTGCAACCTCCGCCTGCCAGGTTCAAGCAATTCTCCTGCTTCAGGCTCCCAAGTAGCCGGGACTACAGGCACGCGCCACCCTGCCCGGTTAACTTTTTGTATTCTTAGTAGAGACGCGGTTTCACCATGCTGGCCAGGCTGGTCTCGATCTCCTGACCTCGTGATCCGCCCGCCTCGGCCTCCCAAAGTACTGGAATTACAGGCGTGAGCCACCGCGCCGGGCCTTTCCATTTCCACGGGTCTTAATCTGGGCTATAAAACAGTAACACCGGCTCATCAGGCCCCTGCCACCTTGTAGGAAAGATGACCAGTCCCCTAACCAGGAACACCACACACAACCGAGATAACAAAGCTTCCAGCTTCCCTCCCCTCTAGTGTTGTCCAAAGACCGAGGACAGCCTCAGACACCCACACGGACCCTTCTTCCAGCTCGGCCCCCAGGGCACGCAGAGCCGAGGCAGGGGTGGCCATCACTACACCTAGAGGGGCTGGGCCGGCCCCAGCGCTCTTCTCGGGGCCGAACTGTGACAAACAGTAAGAAATTACCAAAGACTTATTTAAGCAGGAAAACGACTCAATATATGAGTTAAAGCTGAACAGGTCCTTCATGCCCGCTGTTTCCTTCAGTCCCCAAAAGACTCAGAAGTCTATCTTGTCAAGAACACGTGGAAACGGAGGCTTCGGGGGATTAAACGGGCAGAGGCACTTGCTGGGAACAGGGGACGGGGCGGCGGGCCAGAGGTCGGAGGTCAAGCAGGCCCCGGGCCCGCGGCTGCGT